ATGACTCCACTATAGAGAGTGGTAGGTCAGAGGGGCAAACACACTGAGGCCGAAAAGCAGTAAGTCCAGCAACAGGAATGAAGAGAGTCTGAATTAAATCGTTCAAAAAAAGGTATCAAAAGGGAATTAAGCAGCTTTAAAAAGATATAAATGAAAGGAGATAACAAGAAGAAACAGTAGAAATAACCAGAGTAGCTCCTATAGCGATCGTATTGCGATAAAACTAATAAAACTTTAGCTGTGTTTATGCGCAAAAAGTCCGCCATTTTACCACCACTTTGGGTGCGCGTTAATTAGAATCATTTCGGTGCATAAGGTCCATTATATTCCAGAATTGGCAGAGTTCTGTCTCAGGCATTACATGTACCTCAAGTCTCTTATCTATGGAGATAATATTCTTTATCAAGAAGCTGTTTTGAGAATGATACAAAACCAGCTCTTACTTCTTAGTGGTGAGATAAAGAGTGCTTTAGTGTGCATGTGGTAGAACAGAGTCGAATGAGGGTTACATGAATGATGCTTCAAATAAATCAATGGTTAATATGGTCATGGTGTTTTGCCCACCATATTGAATTAGCCTGCAAGAGTCCTTTTAGTACATGTACATGTACATGTACATGTAACAACAAATGATTTAAAGATAAAAGAAATTCTAATTCGGCTACACTGTATCTCTATGGAAAGTCCCTTACAAGTTCATAAATTAACAGACATTGTAAGGGAGGTATACAAGGAATTTAAGGAACAATATCACAGTTCCACAGTAGGGTCACATCAAGTGGCTGCAAATTGAAATAAGTGTTGATTATTATGATTGTACATACAAATAATAATTATAAAATGATGTATTAACTATTACATAAACATCTTAACACCAATGCCCAAGCCAATTTAATTGGATTAAGTGTACAGTGGGTCACAGGCAGACAAGAAATCGACAATGTACATGGTGTTAGTGACGCCCATCCTTTCAGCTTTTTCTGCAGAGAAAGGGTCTGGTGACACTGATATCTAAAATGTACTTGTGCTTCACGCTAGAGAAATTGGCACCCAATCAGATGGCTCAAACCACATGCAAGGCAATGAATCAATATACCAAAAAGCTCTGTTTCAAACAAAAGAGGAAAAAAGAGGACAAAATAAAAAAGGAGTCTATAATGCCCACTGGGCTTCTTTCTCCAAGAGCAGCATTACTACGCTGCTTACTACAGCCACACCATCACACTTACGCTTGCATGTATGACATAACGAAACTTTCACGTTTTTACAATGGAGCGTCACAAATAATAACAACAAAAATATTAAGTGCATTTGTAAAATTCTACTATGGGACCATGTAAAATGTTGCTGCTATCAAATCTAAAAGAGACGAGCTGCAAAACATCTGTTTAAACTGTCTTGACTCATCTGATTTCCATGTGTTCTTCTTTTGCACACGTTTTAGATAGCAATGTCACCAGACCCTTCTTCCTCAGGTAGTGAAAGGGCGGGACAAGACTAAGGTAACATTTACTGATTACACTAATGATTATAATCTGCTCTACTTTGCAAGTACAGTATAACCTCGATTATCCAGACCCCTTTGTCTATCAGGTGGTCTGGATGGGTCCAGATAAGTGAAAAGTCTGGATAATTGAAATGACCTTTAAAACCTTCATATTTACTCCGAAGAAAAGCTAGAGCCTTAATCAGCCATAAGGAGGCTAAATCCAAGCCTTGTTACTAGTAGAAAGCCATTAATCAGCATATTCCGGCGCTAAACAAGCTACTCCGTGAGAAAGCAGCCATTTTATAATACCATATACTCTAATAAAGTGAATTTAAAGCACCACATGGTCACATCCGGCATAGATTTAATACACAGACCAGGATTGGAAATAGATCCCGTGAGTGCATTAGTTATAAGTGACCCATCCTTGTTGTTAATAACTAGCAGCTGCTGCTCACATTTCAATGGCGAAAAAGTTTGAACCTGTGCAAAACTTTGTGGGACTAATGCTTGGACTGTAAGATGCTACGCAGTTCACTGATCATCTAAAAGCAACCAGTACAAGTAGTTGCAGTGGAACAGACTATTTTTGGTTCATTTATTCTACCGAAAAGAGCAATAAAACCAGAAAATGTAAAATTGAGATGTTGTACTTTGTGGGACTCATTCTTTTGCTCTCATCATCAGACCTATTGTTTGATACTTGCATATAATGAAGAAATCTTTCCACTAGTGGAATAGCATATTTTAATAATTCTAGTTGTTTATAATCATGCTAAAATCAATTAAAAGGTAAATGTCACGAGATACACAACATGCAAGCTCTTTCCATTTACTATTCCATGATTTAAGCCATTTTTGTAGATTCAGAAGGTAGAAAGAGGTCATCTTTAACTTCGACCAGCAGTTCAGCTTCCTCCGTATTTTATGAGATGCAAGAAAGGCTAGGGAACACTGCACAGAAGAAAAAAGTTCACCTATGGCCATTTTTATTCATTAATAAGTATTAATAAACTGTAATAATTACTATAGCAACAACAACACGGATCATGCATGAAATAAAATTAAAAAGGGGAAGTTTCCAATCCCAGTCTGTGTATTAAATCTATGCTTCCAGTCATGATTTCAGAGTCCGGATAATCGAGGATCCAGATAATATAGGTCTGGATAATATAGGTCAGGATAATATAGGTCTGGATAATATAGGTCAGGATAATCGAGGTTATACTGTACTATTTTCAGGTGTTTACACTTTACACTAGTCCAACAGCTGCATTTTCATTTGAATTTATCATTCATTTCATGCTTACAGTATTAGTATAAGTACATGTACATTGTACATGTATGTGTTTTCAAATGACTCAGAATTAAAAATGAAGACTTTCAGACACAAATGCCAGTTTGTTTATACTAAAACAAATGAAAAAAAGCAAACTTATCCCAAGTTATTTAAAGTGGATACTTCTGTAAATGAATGATAAATTCCAATGAAAACCAGTTACTGGGTAAGTGTATAAACACCTGAAAGTAGTGATAGCAAAATGATGATGGTTAGTGGAAGTAAAAAACCCATATCAGTGACTAAGTCTCCAATTTCCAATGAATACGGATGGGGTAGTGTAAATGTGGCTTAAATGAACTGTTGTTCGACTAGGTCATCAAAAAATTATTTCTGTTGCCGGCATGCCACAAATCAAATATCAAATATACATAAATTATTAGGTCACTGAATTGGCCATTAGGGAGGGGTCTGCCTATTTAGACTAGGTTGACACTAGACATACCTTAATTTCATCAGCTAATCTCTTACGGGTACGTTGTAACTTCTCAAGTGTAAATTGCTCATCTTCAGAATCCGTCACAAAAATATGACCACTGTTAATGCTACTAGTATCAGACTCTCCACTGATCACCAATCCGTTCTGAGACTCATCAATACTGCTTTCACTCAAAGAACTAGATTCACGGGACATCTCTATTCTCTTCTTCCTTCGTACTAGGTTCCGGTTACAAGTATTGTCAAGTAATAGCCATAGGTGGAGTCAATAATTATATCAGGATATCCGAGCTACATCAACTATATAGATCTAGAACGGGAAATTACGGGATATGAGGCAGTTGCTAAGTAACATAACAAAAGAATAATGGATTGCCAGGGATTCTGTGGTAGCGCTGCAAGTCGCGAAGATAGCCGGATCAGGTTTGTAGAATCTCCACGCAGTCCCTTCAGAAGATCAAGAAGAAGCCTTTCTCACTTTGATCAATCACTTCTCGCTGAGAAACGAAGTATATTTTATTTTGCATTTTATACTGTATATACATATGTACAATGTATGTATTTGTACATGTATCTGGCATCTGCAGGTGTAGGCAGTTTGACTAAAGTGAATACTCAAGTGAGATATGAAGGTTTGTTAGCCAGCACTTCAATGGAACCACTTATATCAGAAAGAGATATTTGTTCCAAAATGTTTCAGATTTCAAATACAACCACAAAAAAGGAAAATGATATGGTAAATATAGCACATGTAAATGTACATGTAGATGTAAGGCCACAGCCTAAATAATAATGCTGGTGATAAATCCAAATTAATATCCAGCAAAGCTACAAGTACAATACATATCAATAAACAGGAGGGTCTCATTGAAAGAGTGTACATTGTACATGTACATCTATTTAACCTAAAATAGAGTAAGCCAGATTATGTGGTTATTATGGGTATAACATCTCAAATTTGACTCCTCATAGTACAATAAATGGTCATATTCAAACTCAAAAAACTACTGACCAAACGCCTTTAAAAATAAAGGCAAAAGTAAGGTGTTTTAGTAGTACAGTACATTCTTTGCATTGTAACAACTGACACCAGATACCTAGCCCGTACCCACACATCACAAGCAAAGCATTGCACATATAGTAATAATAATAAAATCAAAAACCAGAAATACAGTTGCACTAACAATACATGTACATATATAATGTGAAATAATAAATAAATATATACAGAGCTGTTGCACGGAAGTAATCAACAGGGGCTATGACTGTCCACCATGTTGAGTGGCAAGAATGTATATGGAACAAATGGAGATGCAGAAACAAACTGGGATTTTCCAATGATGAGAATCATACTTGGCTGTAGAATATTGTGGAGAGTTTTTCACTCAATATCTTTATCTCCAAGCTTGCATTAGCCTCTATTGTAAACTGGAGGATTTATTCAGATTTTTTCTCCATTCTCCCTATTCCAACATGTACATTCTTGCCACTCAAGATGGCACACAATCATAGCCACACCCCCTGTTGATAACTCCCGTACCACAGTTTTATGCATGTACATGTGAATGCCATGAACTACAGAAGTAAATAAATAACTCTCTCATCTGAGAGAGCTTGCACATCAGATCAGAAAGAGTGGCAAAGCAATGTATGTATAGTAGTCGTACAAACTAGTGGACTTATACATGAACATGTATTTACTCTTGCATTTACATGTAGTCATGTAGTGTACTATAAACATGTAAGTACATGTATTTCATAAGGATCAAGTGACACACAAATGTACATGTACATTCTTACTCGTTACAGAAGACATTGCATTTAATTTTTGTAAATGTACATGCACATTGTACTTGTACATGTAGAAGTGCCATTATTATTGGGGTGTCAATTTTTTAACATAGGCAACTGGTACTGACAACACTTTTTCAAGAGAAGCCACTCTCATTGAGGTAAATGAATATGACAGTGTAACACAATACTTTTAAATGGATCTGTAGCTAGCTTATTTTCCTGGTTATTTTTCTCATCAAGTTACTCCTCTCCCTCATGGTTTGCATTCTCTTCAACACATGCAAATGATAACAAAAGGTCAAAAGTTTTTGTTTAACAAGGTTAGCTTTAAAATGCATACTACACAGTACATGTACATATGTAGTTAGTACTATGTACATGTAGTTCCTACACAGTACATGTATATATGTAGTTAGTACTACATGTATGTACATGTAGTTCATAATGTAGATTGTGTATATTGCTAATGATGGGTACATGTCATTGTTTGAAGTGAAAGGTACCGTATAGGGGGTATATTCCACGGGGATTTAATTTCACTTATTTCACGGTTTTAAAAAATTCGTGAAAATTTTTATCTATGAAAATTGTTTTTTACCATACTAATAATGGTCAGTAGCAGAAAAACGCAAAAATTTTTCCTTGTGAATAGGTTGAAAGGTGATTTTCGTGAAATATTTTCCCCGGGAAATATATCCCCTATACGGTATAATGTATATTTTACACCTCTGCATTCTAATCAAAAATATAAATGCTCTGGTGGCATGTGAAGACATGCCATATGCAAATGCTGCAGGCAATTGGAAGTACATGTAGCCAGCTACATGTACATGTACATGTACATGTACATTGTACATGTACGCTTACATGTGAGGTCAATGTATCCATACATGCTGCTAAAAACTGCATTATGTACATGCAGGTATGCAAATGCACCGTACATGCATGAACATGTACATGTACATTCAGTAAAATTGTACATTACAAGTTTTTACTATAATACATACTGCACATGTATGCATAACATCTCAACAACTAGCATGGTTTCCTACTTTACTGGGAAAAAAATTTCTACTCGATACCTTCTCAAAACATCATGCATGATGTCTTCTGGTGGTTCTTTCTTCATTATTATCAGGTAAAAAGTGGATTAATTTGTATGTATATAAACATAAAAATTTCTTAGCCAAACCAACCAATACAAAATCTACTTTTTACACGTGTTGCAGAAAACTATGTTTTATTACTATCAAACATGGCTCCTAGCCACTATCATGACATATTTTTTGAAGTAAATTGTATTTTAATGTTTTTCTCTTGAAAAGTTCACAATTGTTACAGTATTACCCAGAAGTGCTGGTTCAGTCTGTATACAGCATTTATGTTTATTGTTTTCCTAATTCTTGGAGCAGCTTTGATGAGTCATTTAAAAGTGATCTATGCAATACAATATTTTTGTGGTTCACAGGTTAGCTACTATTACATAAGTCAACCAAATTATATCTAAGTATAAATGTGTACATGTAAATGTAGGAACACAAAGAAGACCAGGGAAATGGAAAGAATGGAACTTTGAAAATTTGGAGCCTCATGATTTAATAAAATACATCAAAACCAATGATCAAACAAATGCTTTAAAACACAAAAGTAAATTGGCCTACATGTACATTGTATACATGTACATCGTTTTCAGTGTAGCAACCTTTCAAATTGTACAACTCTAGGTTTTAATATAGACCAACTTATTGAAGAAGCAAGAACAGAAGCAAAACCTATGCACCTTCCCAAGCAGCACAAAAACTCTATTCATTCCCAAGTATGCTTTTTATATACAGTACAATAACATTACTAACTGATTTGACAAAGATGCAAACTGCAATACAAGGGTTTAATTTTGGTCACGCTGTTATGGACATTAAGTGCAGCAGCCCTTTGGTTTCCCACTTTCTAAGGAATCAAGGGGCTTTTCCTTTAGCTGGATGCTCTCTTCTACTTCAGCATGTCGTTTTTCATAAACAGCCGGATAAAGAATGCACAACTTTCTCAGAAGTAATAAGTAAATCAAAAGAGCATGACAAAATGGTCCACTCTGAGTTTGACAAGTATAATAATGACAACCAGCAATTCCTCTTTTAAAATTGTTACATTACTTAGGTGTTACAACATTTTAAGGGCACATATGAAGAAACATCAGAGAGAAAGAAAAATACTATCACAGGAACACAAAATGTATAAAAATGAAATGTATAAAAATAGCGATCAATATTATGCAGAATTTGAGATCGGGTGTAACAATTGTCATTATAATAGGCACACAACTCTACTTCTGTCTCATCGTCAAGAAATTAGAAGACTCAGTAACAACTTAGCATTTAACATACTCGTAAGATAGTAAAGTACAGTTATATCATTCTTATCTTAACAAAATATTAACTAGATGTTATGAATATACCATGTACCTATGCATATATAACTATGTACCTTCTTCTTCTTCTTCTTATTATTATTATTATTATCATTATTATCATTATAACTTGTTGTTATAATTATTCAAATTTGTAGGGTACACAATCTGATAAATCACGTAAAGACAAAATTTCGTCTGCTATCAAAGATTCAATTCTAAGGCTATCATGATAATAGACAAACGTACTGTTACAATAGTATATACTACTTAATGTCCATTTTTAGTTTCAATAGCTTAACAGCATCACTGCATGAAAATATTTTCTCTGCTTCTTCATCTGATATCTCAACACCTATATGTATAAAACAATAGAGACATTTGCATTAAATTTAAGCAAAATCTGGCATAAAATTCAACTAAAATTTCAGGTACAGCAGAGCTCAAGGCCAAGTTACGACACTTACATTATTTAAATGCTTACAAAACAGTACTGTTACTAGTATGGTGTGCAGTTCAGATTTTTGAGTATACTTATACTTAATACAAGATGTTTATACAGTAACACAATAACATGATACACTACATGAGCATAGCATTACACAGTACAAACAGTAAACTAACGCTAAATGTTTAAGTATTACGTATACAGTAAGTGCTATGGTACGTACTGGTACGTACATACTTAATACGTACAGGTAAGTTATGGTATGTAATTGCGTATTAAAGTTAACTTGGCCCTGATCTCTGCTGTAGTTTGTACATGCATGGAGTAGACTACTATAGCTTCTTGTAACAATTCATGTTCATAACTTCATATACCTAAACTTAACCCAAGTTAAACCATAGATATTAGAGTGGGAGGTAGAGTCTCCAATTGTAAATGTACATGTATCCACAAATTCTTTGACAGGCACATCTGCTGTAACAGGAGTTTCAAATGCCCATACTACAAGTAGAGCTGTGTGATATACTGGTATTATCATTGACTTGGGATATCTTTGCCTTATCATGATAACGATAATGCACTTCCTGCTGGATAATATCATTGTTTGCAATTATTTATCGCGAGCATGCACAATAAGTTTACGGTTATGGTATATGCTATACACGTGGCCGCAACTTAATCATCTTCATCTTCTCTTGTTCAAGTTGTTGTCAGTGTTTGTCTGCCTGAGAATGGCAAACCATCTGAATATATTTTACAAACGCTCCGGTTTGGACCTACTTCGGTTTGAAAGCAGATAAAAATGGACTTCCGATTTTAAAAGAAGCTGCTATCTGAAAACTTTGCTTTAGTAGCATTTCGTCAAAAGGAGGCAGCACTAGCAATCTCTATGGTCACTCCAAGCACCACCATGCCAAAGAACATGCTGAACTAAAGCAAGGAATGGCCGCGGCAGGCAACAGTTCCCGTTCAACTCGAAGCCGATCTACTTCAATCGTAGCAGTTGTAAATCAGTCCAAGTCATATAGAAGAAATGCAAAGAAGTAGCAGGAACTCACAGACTCAGTTACTTGATGTTAATGTAAGGTTATGTTACCAATATACACTGTGGAGAAAGAAGGGTTTGGCAACATGCTTATGAAATTGACTCCCATTATGAACTACCATCATGTAAGTACTTTTCTGAATCTGTAATCCCAGCATTATACAACAGAAAGAGGGAGAAAGTTGTCGATGAATTAAGCAACCTCAAGTATTTTGCTGCCACCACAGACATGAGGTCAAGCGAAACAGATGAACCATTCCTGTCATACACCGTACACTTTATAGATGCAGAGTGGAGATTGAAAACTTGTTTACAAGCTCTATACCTACCAGCAGACCACACAGATAGCAACATACCTGATGCATTGTTATCAACTCAGGAAAATTGCAGATTAGATCAATTGAAGCAGGTAAATAAACTTAATTATTTAATCTATTATCATAGTATCATGTACTTCTATTTTATTTTTCAACTATCCTTTTAGGCATGTATCACTACAGACAATGGTGCAAACATTGTTTGTGCACTGAATAGACACCTCCACTGGCCACACCTGCCATGCTTTGGACACAATTTACACTTGGCAGTATCAAATTCCATAAAGAGTGATGAAAGAGTTAAAAGAGCACTAGGAATATGTCGAAAAATTGCTGCAGCCTGTTCATACCACTGGAAGAAAAAGCATCAATTGGCAGAGGCACAACAGAGCATGAATCTCCCATTGCAGTCCATTAAATCGGACTGCACATCACAATGGGGCTCAACTCAATTGATGATTAATACAATTCTAAAACAAAAAGATGCAATTCATCAAGTGCTACGTTCTGATAACAAGTGTTGTCATCTTTGTTTAACCTGGCAAGATCTGGATCTTTTAGAATCCATTAAAAAAGTGTTTGCCTCGTTAGATGAATTTACTGATGCCTTGTCTTTATAAACTGAAGTTACAGCATCTGCCATTAAAGCAGTGATGCACATACTAAAAAATGACGTTCTTGTGGTTGAAGTACTTTAACATGCGACATAAAGACATTTAAATTCCTTAATGATGAACAGAAGTCAGGTGTCAATGAAGAAATAACACGTAGAATGGCCAATCTTTCACCACTTCATCAAAACTCAGAAGTGTCAAATGTTACGAGTCAACCATCTGCACTAGACATATTGTTAGGACCAGATGACGTTATCACTGAGTTTTCTACATTTCAAGAAGAGATGGATGCTTACTTTTGTGAAAAGGCTATTTCCAGAAATGTGAACCCTCTAGTTTGGTGGAAAGATAACCAATTGCATTTTCCAAATCTGGCAAAAGTTGCTAGATTGCTTCTAAGTATTCCAGCTACCTCAGCTCCAGTTGAAAGAATAGTCTCTGCTGCTGGGCTAACAGTCCCTAATTTAAGATCTTCGCTAAATCCTGACACTGTTGATGTTCTTATTTTTTTAATAAGAATCACTATGTACTTCATTAAAACTAATAATTTTGATATTAAAAACTGATAAAACCCATTAATTTAATTAACCACAGCCATTATTAATTAATGGCCCACCCCTTTAATTAACTAGCTCCGCCCAAAATGAAGGCAGTACCTTCGTTTGTATAAGTGTTGAACCTTCAAATGCATAAAATTTGCCTTTGTTTATGCCCTACTACACTGTATACAGCCAGTTTCAATTGAATTTGACAGGAAGTTTTCGTCATCAAAACATCACGTGTAGCCCCACCCACACACACAAATAAAACGGCCAAAACTGCAATGTGCTCTCTTTTTCTTCCTCTAACTCCTTCAATTTCTCATTTTGGGTGCCATTTCCTCTACATCTTATCTGCAGGATCTTTGTCCTTGTTATTACTTGAAAAAGGGATCAAGAAATGCAAATTTACAATGGATTTTCTGAGCGGTAAAAAGTGACAGCAGTTTTACAGGATTGGAGAGGTAAAGCAAGCGAACAGAGGCTTCTTTCCAGAGTGCAAGACCTTCTTGTGAAATATCCATCGGTCTGTAGTGTTCCTTTTGCTTTATATTATTTTTAAACAAATAAAACATGAGTTTGGCAAATGTAATGAGATGCAAATGATATTCATGAGCAGAATACAAAATGCAACATCATGGCGGCTTCTTTGATGGAGACTAGAAGAACCAGTTGAGAACCTTCCAGAATACCCAGAGATCTCAAAATTAGTCTAAAGATGCGGAAGAACCTGTTAAGCAACTATACCAAATTTCAAGTTGCTAGCACTAGTAACAAAAAGTTATAATGGTGTTTCACCTGTTAAACTCAACTGAAACCAACTATACACTCTTTGATTCATCCATATTCTAAGCTCTATACCAGCAAAAAACATGCACCAATACAAAGGAAAATACAGGTGGAGGAAGCAGCAGCCACAGAGTTACAATAAAGAATAAAGTACACCGAAGGACAAGAAATACTCGAAGAAAGACAAAAACTGTACAATGCAGCTTTAGTTAGGTGGGGCTACATGTCAAGTTTAAATGACAAAAATGTCACATTTGCATTCCACTTCAAAATAACTTCAAAAATAGAGATGGGTGATATCACTCACAGAAATTACTGACGGTTATCACAAGCAAAGTTATCATGATTATCAAGAATAGAGATGGGCGATATCACAAAAATTACTGACGGTTATCACAAGCTGAATTATCATGATTATCAAGATTATTAAGAATAACTAGACAAATGTAGAACATTAAAGGGGCGAGCAAAAGCAAGCCTTCGTACTGTATAATTTTTATGAGCAAGCTAAGCAACTGTTTAAAATTAAAGAAAATATGCTTTTCTCACCATCTCATCCTCTAATTAAATCTACTCCATCTCTTTACTCTCTCCACTCAAATTATCAAGGCAATCTTAAACCAATCATTTGCAAATCGTCATCCTTTCTTCACTCTTTTTTCCAATCAAGCAGTAACCAATGAAACTCTCTCCCATCCCCTATCGAACTATCTCTTTCTATTTCTAAATTAAAATCATTCATTTCATCTAACCTATATTGATCTATTATTTGTTAATTTATTATTAGCTTTTGCTATGATCGTTAAAAAACTGTACATGCCTGAAATACAGTAGATCTGATGTCTCTCACTCTCTTCTTGACTGAGCCCTGGCTGCTTCACGATAGGCATCTCTGCGAGCTCCATCCTTGACTCTCTTAATAGCAAGCCTTGCTTCTCTTGCTTCAGGAGTTTCTGCCGCCATCCTCTGCCTGTAGAGCATTCTACGGCGATTACGACGAGCTTCTTCTTTGCTGTAACTGCTTCTTTGACTCATTTCTTTTTGACTTTTCTTTAATGACACGTGGCAATTAATGATGCACGTGCGAGAATTTATTGCTTTTTATTAACTTTTAAAAATAGTTAGACTACCCATACAGACACACAGACAGACAGATGCACTTCTGGCTTTTTTGCCTTAGTGGGGCTCACTTTTGCTCACCCCAATTTTGAATATGTAATAATACATTAAATAATCAAATTTAATGCTCATGTAAGTCATGTTAACTTGTTAAGTGATACTTAGGTGAAATATGCAGTTCTATTGCAAGTTCTTAGACAAATAAGTGAGGTAATTGACGTTCTTTGGATGAAGGCGACTTCTATGATCATTTACGATGTAGCCACAGGTACTGAACATCCATTCACTTGGAAGTGCCACAAATGCATAAGTACTTCCGAGCTAAAAATGACAGAGCTGGAAACTTTCTCTGCTTACTTTCCACAATACCAAAGGATCATTCTCAGCATTCACTTTTGGGTACTCAAGGTAAAGATATTACTTCAATATCAATTTTATCTTGTAGTGTTACTAAAACTAGAATCTGTGATTCCTCCTCAATGTGTTT